AATCGTTGTCATTTGGAAATGAGATCGCACATAAGTATGAATCGAGATCGCGATTTTCTAACGATTAATCGTGCAGCCCTAATAGTACGTAACGATTCTCAAGTTATTCTGAAAGCTTGACATTGATGGGACAAATAGGGCTCGGGTCATCACCAATAATGATTCGGATCTTACCACCTGAAAGCTAGCCTACTGATAAACTCTAACTCTGACCCCTCATCTTCTCTGCCCCAGCTTTCGACGGCTCATGTGCTGCTTTTCAAACACCCACAGAGCCTGCAGTGAAGCTCTTCTGCCTCATCTGGATCTTTAATCAATGCTTCCTGTTTTCTGTTGTTTCTCCCTTGCACAACACCATGTAAGCAGCCTCGAGTGACCTGCTGGCCTCTACATGCCTGTTTCTTCATTACAAACTATTTTAAGTCAGCAGACTGAAAGAGAGACAGTCAGCAATACCCAGTCATTTCCAAACCATGCCTACAGCTGAGGATAGGTTCACATCTGGCACTTTTGATAGATTTTGTGCCAATTTGCATATCCAAATGAGAAAGCTTATGATAGTAGAACTGTTGGGCTAAAATGCAAGCATGAGACTTTACTAGAAAAGCACAAACTTCTAGTTGAGCTGCCATCTTGTATTTGCACACTTAATGATGAATGCGGTTATCATTAACTAACAGTGATGTGATCATTCACCCAGCAGGACAGCTCTGACCTACATGCATCCATTCCTACTGCACTACCCCAACTATGAATAGCTAACCTCTCCAACTCGCCCCCATTCCATCCCCATTTTGATGGATCCGGATGGATTTTGGCGTGCCTGCTTCGAATATAGACACCGAGCTGCATATTAATCATGTGGTGTCACCACAAAACCCACTCTGAAGTTTCATGTTTACTGTGGATTCCCCCTTTTGTAAACAACTGATGGGCGTCAGTGCTGTGATTACAGTAAATGGCTGGTAAATCTCTCTGGATGTGAAATTAATCAGCGTTTTCATGTCAGATTCATTCCCTTCATTAAACACACATCCATTACTGTGATAACAGGATACATTTAAACAATAATTATCATACAAATTACTGCATAAACTGTTTGCTTTGTGTAGATATTTACCATATCCAGCACTCTTGTTCTTTCTGTGATGTTTGCTATAAAATCACCTGACACATAATAACTGTCAGAGTTGAAGCGATTTTTGGTGAGGATAATAATGTTCAGGTCGTGATGATTTGAGTTCAGACATAACTCCACGAAGGGTGGGATGGGTTTGTGCCAATTTAGAGGTATTACAGGAGACATGTGGCATATGAATGTGGCTGGAAAGCAAATGCTGATCAGCCACATTATTAAAACCATTCACTGATCCTTTTGTTGTTGTTGTTTTACAGCACAAGGTTGGACGTCAACACCAACAATCCAGCAGCACCCGCTTCGCCTCACCTGGACCACGAGCACCGCCCCACACTGCAAAAAGCTGCTCAAAGACAACGAGCTAACCTTGCACTGAAACACTCCCACTCTGTATCCAGTAGTCAAGAGAGCACTCGTGAGAGTCCCACACCAGAACTCCAGGTTGAGAGTCCTGACAGGTCAGAGCTGTTTGGCGGTACTAGTGGGACCTGCACAGGATTAGCTGGTTTTAATATTGTGACTGACTGCTCTGTGGGGTGGCTGTAGCTCAGGTCACCTACTAACCGGAAGGTTGGTGGTTTGAGCCCAGGCTGCATGCCAAATATCCTGGGGCAAGATACTAACCCCATGTTGCTCTCCGATGCATCCATCGGTGCGTGACTGTTAGATAGGAAGCACTCAGAAACAGCATAGAAAAGGGTGCTTGTGCAAATGGGTGAATGTACAAGTTGTGTGAAGTGCTTGTTGTGCTCAGAGTAGCAAAGCGTAATATAAGAACATTTACCATCTAATTATGCCATATTTGTGTACAAGCATAGACGCTTACTGACCAAGCTGACACCTGAGCCAGTCTCACCTTTGGCTCAAAGACGGACGCAGTGAGCGTTTGAGCGCAAACTTTGCGCCCACCACCTGCACACACCTGGCTGTATCACGCGATGTTACATGCGGGCTGTGCTGCAGGGTCAGAACTGCAGAGAGAAACAACTGGACGACGTTTAGGAAGACGGTGACTGCTCGTCACCCCGGGTGCACTTTACCGTCACGCCGCTTCCTTCCGTTTGGAACCCGGACACACGGGCTGCACGCTCAGGTGCGTGTACGTCAGGTGTGCGTGCAGTGCTGGACCGAGGGAGCCCACTCGCCGCACGGACAAAGTCCACGGAGGAAACAGCGTGTACTCCACTCCACGCTCATCAGCGCGTCTCGCTTTTTGCTAAAAAAAAAAATCTCAAGTGCGCAGCTTAGAAATCCCCCCAACGAGATTAGGAGCGCGCGCACGCGCACAGAGACGCGCGAGCGTTATTTATTCACACACAGAATCTGCTTATCTCATCGTTACGGCGCGTCACGGTCTACGTCACATTTGTCAAAACAACATCAATGGACGACACGCGCACATTGCAGCGACACGGTGGGACGTGTGACGCACGCGCGAACGCACGCGCGAGCGCGTCGCAGCTTCTGCTCGGCGATTGCACACCTACGGTGCGCGGATCGCAGCGACGGTAAAAGTTGCGGAGATTCGTGTCACGGCCTTAAACGAGGAGCGCCAGGCGTACATTTGCGTGAACATACCGCGATCCCCGCATGTGTGCGCGACGCACTTTGCGTTAGTGGGGAGGGAGGGAGCAGGGGGGGAGAGAAGGGGGAGGGAGGGACAGCCAGTAGCGTCAAAGTTTGGCTGAAACGTAACGCGACCGACGGCGGCTGATGGATTCTCCGTCCGCGCACAAATAACGAGCAGCAATAAGACGTTACTCACCTCCGCGCTCACTTTCCCGTCGTCCCCGGAGTTACGGATGCCGCTGCTGGACAGGAATGTCCACCGTGACGCTGTCCGGTCCTCCGGTACGATCTGCTCCGTAAACTGGGTGAGCAGAGAAACACGGAACTGGTCGGCTCGGATCTGCCCCAGTCCGCCCAGCAGAGAGGCAGGCAGGCAGCAGAGAGCAGCGGTGGGCGGGGAACCACCAGGCGAGCAGGCAGGGCTCGGAAACTGAAAGCAGTTGTGTAACTGAGTGGCTATTGGCCCACAACACACACATGCACACACGGAGCCGCGGTGTGTAGCGATCAACGCCGCTACTCACTTTGTTCAGTTGGACAGACCCGAGCGAGCAGACTGCAGAGTTTCTGCGTTAGAGAAAGAAACGCGCAGGTGTGCGCTGCCACAGAAAAACGGTTTGCGCCTCGTTCTTAAGGCAACATTTCTCACAACTTAATTGTAAACACGAGTAAGTGCAGTTATTAATTAACTCGGGTTATACCATAGACTGTATATAATAGATGGCCATAGCCCCCTGTCAGGTTTTTTAACTTGTAGTTTGGTGTGTTCGGGCTTCATCAGCACTCTGTCCTGGAAAGATAAGAAGTTTGGGTAAAAATACAGTCTCATGGTGTCTGTTTGACATGTTGAGGAGCAATGTTGAAGTCTGAAGGACACACACACACACACACACACACACAGTGACATTTTATACCTTCTCCAGCATACTGTATATGTTATGGCCACAAGTTTGCATCATGGTGCTGATCCAGAATTCTATTATTAGTATTATTATAG